ACTTCGCGCTGTGGATCACCGGATCGGCTTTCACCGTGGACGAAGCGGAGTCCAGCCTCGGGGTCGTCACATGTGGTTGCCGCAAGCCCGCCGGACGCTCAATCGTCGAATCCACTGGCCGCGCCGTTCTCAAGCTCGCCCGCCGCCACTCACTCTAGCCCGCCGTGTGTGACACTGTGTGTTTCGTTGTGAAAGCGAAACTAACATTACTTTGTTTGGCCTTCCAAACGAGGACATGTCTACAAATCAGTGGTTAAGTTGTATTTACAACACCGTTCCAGAACAGTTCAACCCAAATATTTTATTGGTTTATTGCTCCATTTTATGGAGTTAATATACTGTTCCTGATCCTGGGAGAGTAGACTACAATGCCGGCTGTTCTGACTCACAGCCTGTAAGTACGTTTTAATACAAAGATAAAACAGCCATATCAAGGGGTTTGATTATATATTATTATATGATTTATGGATGTAAAGTCTCTGATATCTCATGCATGTATTAAAGGTGCACAACCATATTGCCGGTTGTAAAAAGCCTTCTTTAAACAGTTGAAATGACAGCATGACCCTCTCTGCTTCCCACACTGAGTGCCTGCGTGTTTATATGATGGTTAACTGGTGCGCAACATAACAAGGTGAAGCTCACTGGAAAAAAGTTTGTGGTCTGTTTGTCTAAAGGTTGTGTTAATTCTCATGTGACCTCCACCGAGGGACCACTATTATGTAGGCCACCAAAATGCAGTCTACGTCTCGTGAGTGAGAAAGTAGTGAAAGTAGTGTTCCCTATAGAATAAATGTTATGATTATAGAAAATGTGCTTATAGAAAAAAGTGCTCTAACTATTTATTTTAAATATTTAATATATAATAATTAGATTAAATAGAATTATATGTTAGAATAAAGTCTAAAGTCTCTTATTTTCACCAAAGTTGCATTTATTTGATCAAAAATACAGAATCCGATGGTGAATAGAAAGTTCAAAAGAGCAGCAATTATTTGAAATATAATTTTTTTTTACATTATAAATGTCTTCACTGTCACTTTTGATCAATTTAATGCATCCTTGCTGAATACAAGTATTCATTTCTTTTAAAAAATCCTAACCTCAAACTTTTGAATGGTAGTGCATATAATCTGTCATTCGAATTAGCCTAAGTGACATAATATAATATCTGTGAACCTCTCTGAGACACTCACCTGGGGATTGACGTCCAGGATACATGTGCGGCCGGTGTTCACCACCTCATGGATGGAGTCAATTTTAGTACCATAGAGGTTGCCGTCGTACTCTCCGTGTTCCAGGTACCGGCCCGCCTTGATGTCCATCTCCATCTCTAGATGTGTTACAAATCTATATGACTGACCATCTTGCTCGTCACTGCGAGGCCGCCGAGACGTGTCTGAGATATTGAGACAGAAGAAAAGAAATGGGTAAACCTATGGGCAAGAACAAAGCATTGCTTTGCTTTTTGTGTTTTATTTTATTATTTTATTGTGTTTTATTATATTTTCGAGGTAAGAGTATTCATTAGGTTCTCACGTGGTACAGTGGTACCAAAGCGAGTGGGATGTAGCACAACTAGTCTGTTTTTCAGGCTACGACGCCCCACTCCTTGCGCTCCAATCAGGATGAGGGTTTTCCTCTGAAACGGCGGCATACGTGCTACTTCCTCGTAGATCTGAAGCTCATGCCGATCAAACTCTGTAGGATAACCATACAGGAGAGGAGACACAATGGATTTATCGATATTAGGATAAAGATGCATATGTGTGTTAAGTCAATTCTGAAATTCTATTTGAATTTCAGGTGTTGGATTTTATTTCAGGTGCTGCATTTTAACTCCTCCTAGAGATTTAATCAGATCAACACCAAATTTGGTCAGTGTAATCTAAAGCCCTTTGTGATGTTAAATTGCAAAGATCTTGAGTTTTCATTGAAGGGCATGTCTGTGGTGTCTGTGGATATTTTGTGTGTATTTTTATATATATATATATATATATATATATATATACATATATATATATACGCATATATATATATACACACACACACAAACGGTCAAAAAGTTGGGAATAATAATAATAATTATTATTTTTTTATTTTTTTTATTTTTTTACAATATTTTAAATTATGTCTCATATGCTCACAAAGTTGAATAAAAATGAAGACAGTAATATTGTGAAATAAAAAATTAGATATTAATAATAAAAATGTATTCATTCATATTTTTATTCAGCAATGAAATTACGCTGATGAAAGTGAAACTTAAGACAATTATGATGCTACAAAACATAGCTATAAAGAAATCCTGTACTTTGAACTTTCTATTTAAAAAAAAAAATCTGAAAAAAAAAATATATACACAATAATATGAAGCAACAAAAACATTTTCAACATTGATAATAATAATTATTACCATTATTAATCAATTATTTAAAAAATGTTTTGTATTATTTATTTTAATTAAGTCCCTTTCTGATTACAATTTTATTTTAAAAAAAAAATGTAATACAATAAACCAAGTATTTTATCTGCTAACCTGCATTTTTGGCAGTGAGGTACATCATTTTTTTCTTCTTTTTACCAGTTATTGTTCCACATAGGATTCCTAAAAAAGAAAGAAAAGGAGAAGACGAGTGAAAGAGATATATTATGTAATGTAATGCTAAATTTGTCCACTAGATGGCATTACGTTAGCGTTTCTGTGCTGTAGGCTTGTGGCACTATTATAAATGGATAAAATTGTATCTCATACAAAAGTGTACCATGGTTTTCACTTGTTAATACAGCGAAAGCATAATACATTAATACTGTATGTCCTTGAAACAGCTTTAGAAGTTTCAGAATATTTCTGTCATTTTGTTTCATTTCATGTTTTGGCAAGAATAACATGTTTAGGTTTATCACCTGCTCCATCCAGGTCTCTAGGAACAAATGCTTTCCTCTTTTCCTCCAGAAACTGACTGGGAATCAGCCCAGTACCTCCTTCCGTTAAATGGCACGCCTGTCAGTCAAAACAATATGGTCAGTGGCACACAATAACCGACCAATACACATGAGTGAGAACAGGTAAGAAAAAAACCACAGTAATCACACCTGCCACCAGTTTGGGTCTTCTCGGTTGACAATCTGCAGGATATCACCCCTTTTGAATGCAAGCCCCGCCTCTCTGCATGGAATTAGATTGTCATTGGCTGGATTGTAGTCAAAATGTGGCTGCACATAAACCTGAGAGAAATAAAACGTGGGATTAATCCAAATATTAAAAAGCAAAACTCATGCTGTTCACATTCCAGCGGGATTACGGAGTTATAATTTAATTCACATTCAAGCACTGTGGTGTCATTCATATGTGCTCATCTCATAAATACAATATTTTTTTTAACATTACTTGAAAGAAAAGATAAAGAAAACCTAACCTAAACTTTACCCACATAACTTCGTATTAGATCAAACATCATGATCTGACAAGTGTAGGGACTAAATGTCCATGGCAGATCTCCAGGTTCACCACAGATTGAGGAGGAGGGGATGATATAATATTTACATAAATGTATTTAAATAAGAAGCCTTATTGTGGGGCCTAGTGTCACTGACTTTGAAAAATTGAATCACAATGACAAAATGATTTGTTATTAGCAGAATCCCTCTCGAAAAGCTTCTTGAGAAGACATGAATACATTATGTACACAGAGGGATAGATGTAAGATACAGAGAAAATACCAGGAGCCATGTAATAAGATTGAATTGTGCGTGTGTGCATGTCTTGCCCCAGATAGCATGTGGAGTGCTATTAATAGGGCTCTCAGGGATCTTTTTTTACTACAAAGAATCATGGGATTTCAAAAATGGCCAAATGCAACCCCAAGGATAGATGTTGAATGTGTGTTTCGGCATGCACACAAGTCCATGTGTGCACTTAAAAATTTTACGAAACAAATACTGGTGGATTTGAACAACATGAATGAATATGAATATGATTATGCATATTTAGTGCCTACATGTACAGTTGTTTTTACAGTTTGGGGTTAGTAAGATTTTTTTTTAATTAATACTGTTATTTTAGCAAATACACATTCAATACACACAAATTGATCAAAAGTGACAGTAAACAGACACTTACAGTGTTGCAAAAGATTTCCATTTCAATTCATTTTCTATTTCTATTTCAAATCAGCATGTCAGAATGATTTCTGAAGGATCATGTGACACCAACGACATTTAAAAATATATTAAAATGCAAAACAATTATTTTTAAATGCAATAATATTTCACAATATTGCTGTTTTTACTGCATTTTTAATCAAATAAATGCAGCCTTCTAGACCATAAGAGACTTCCTTCAAAAACATTAAACAAATCTTACTGACCCTAAACTTCTGAGCAGTAGTGTATATGGATATTCGCGTGTGTGTGCACCTGTGGGGGCGCTGCAGCGTCTCTGTAGCTGGGCAGTATTTTCAGTGTTATTCCTCCACTACATTCTTTGAGCATCTCCTGGAGTTCAGTGGGATTATTGCCGACGTCCTTCCCATTCACCTCCTTTATGATGTCACCCACATGCAGCAGCCCCTGCCTGTCAATCAGCCCTCCGTGGAGGATGCGAGCGATTACCAGGTCACCCTTGTCCATTCGAAAGGTCACACCCTGGGCGAAACCACAGCATGAGTAATGACACACATGCAGGCGCTTTCGTTCTGTTGCACTGTTGGACTGGATATTGATTTAAAGGGTCATGAAACCCCCTGTTTCAGCACTGGTTAGTTCTCACCACAGTTTTAAAGGGGTCATATGATGTTGTTAAAAAGAACATTATTTTTTGTATTTGGTGTAATGAAATGTTTATGCGGTTTAAGGTTCAAAAAACACATTATTTTCCACATAATGTACATTATTGCTTCTCCTCTTTGCCCCGCCTTTCTGAAACACGTCGATTTTTACAAAGCTCATCGGTCTGAAAAGCAAGGTGTGCTCTGATTGGCCAGCTATCCAGTGCATTGTGATTGGCCGAATACCTCAAGCGTGTGACGGAAATGTTACGCCCCTTACCACATTGTGATGCCCTGTCCGGCCGGAGCGACGAGACAAAAACATTAAAACCCATTATAAACAAGGCATTTGTT